GAATCCTCGTGTCGATGCTACGTGTGTGTCAGCTGAAGCTGGATAAAGGCGACTGGCTTCAGTCGGGATTCTGTGAGAAAGCATACTGTAGCATTAACGAAAAAGAAACAATGTTGCACTGATCAATATATTTGATGAAGTTTATGTGTTTATAGCATTCATTTGTAAAAAAGACAACTGAAATAAAAAAGACAGTGTTCATTTTTTTTATATAGTTTCAGAATATGTAATACGATTCTGAAATGGTCAGTTATCGAGATGTTTTCATTATTGAAAAAGATATACAGATTTCCTATAGTAAAGCTCCCGTTTACCTGACCCCGATTCTCTTTTGCTTTTTGTACTGTCGTTGAAATTTTGTGCCGATTTGTTTCTTTTTCATTTTCCTTTTTTTTTTACAAGAAGATGCAGAAGCAGAGAAAACTTTTATTTTCAATACTGCCTCTGTACGTTGCTGTTGTAGGAAGGAAAAAAATGAATAAAAAACAGCAAGGCCTTAAAATGGATATCAATGTTTTGTATTTGAACATCTGCACCACGAAAGAAAATCTCCTCCACATCTGCTCTGTCTCTGATCGAATCAGATCGACTGACATATTCCAAAGATTCAGCTCCAATAAATGTGTTCTGAAACTTTTGCTCTTTTTATAAGTTATTTTTCTTTTGTTCTTTTTTTAACTATAGATGACATGCAAAGAGCATGCATTGAGCAACTTGATGACAAGAGAAGCACTGTACTTTGACATATTTACATAATATAAATGTACACTTTTTGTAGTTTTGAGGGTTTATTTTATACAAAAGAAGAACTGGAAGCATTCAAATGAGGCACAAAAGTGTCCACCAGCAATATCAGTATATTTCTAACCAGAGGGACTCTGATAGCAATGTCTGTGAACTTACTCTAGTGTGTATTGTGTTAATTATTTGATTAGTTATATTACATAAATGCTTATTAATTCAAGTAATAACGAGCATATGTAATCACTGAAGAGCTCCAGTGAATATTTCTCAGGGCTGAAAGTTAATTACTGTGTAGACACGTGCTTTAAAATGCTTTTGAGCATTTTACTGATATTTCATGAACAAGCTTGATATTTTAGCGGGGCATATTTAGAGTCCCTTGTGAAAAAGTCAACTTCAAATCTTAAAAGTATATTTTTAAAAAGCTGTACTGATGTATATTACAGAAAATGGTAATGCATTAGTTTAGAAACCAATTCTCACTATTAACTAGTAGTAGTAGTAGTGTACATATAAGTAACACATTAAGTCAACACATTCAATAAGTGCACTTCTTTAAAGCACGACAAAAGATTAAAACATAATGATTTTAATAACCTTTAATTTGACATGATCGCAAATTTCTCTTGAAAGTGTCTCCCTTTAAGTGCACTTAAGTGGCCTTTTATTTCATTAATATTATGGTTACGCTTTATTTTAAGGTAATGTTGTTGCAGTGTAATTACACAATATGCATAGCATATTGCCTGTTTATTAGTACTTATAGAGCACATATTAATGCCTTATTCTGTATGATCATATTCTAGATCTCTTAAGCCACCCAATACCTAAACTTATCAGCTACCGTACTGATTATTAATAAGCAGCAAATTAGGAGTTTATCGAGGCAGAAGTTGTTGTTAGTTAGCTAATAATGAGAATTTGTCCCTAAACTAAAATGTGACCCAGAAAAGATACTTTATTTCAAAGTGACGTAGTTACACCTTACATGTACTTACTTTAGTAATAAGAGTAAATTATTAAGTAACTAACCCTAAACCAAACCATAACCTAATAATACTCAGTACTTAGTTGTGTAATTACACTGCAACAGCATTACCTTAAAATAAAGTGTAACCATAATATTAATGAAATAAAAGGCCACTTAAGTGCACTTAAAGGGAGACACTTTCAAGAGAAATTTGCGATCATGTCAAATTAAAGGTTATTAAAATCATTATGTTTTAATCTTTTGTCGTGCTTTAAAGAAGTGCACTTATTTGAATGTGTTGACTTAATGTGTTACTTATATGTACACTACTACTACTACTAGTTAATAGTGAGAATTGGTTTCTAAACTAATGCATTACCATTTTCTGTAATATACATCAGTACAGCTTTTTAAAAATATACTTTTAAGATTTGAAGTTGACTTTTTCACAAGGGACTCTAAATATGCCCCGCTAAAATATCAAGCTTGTTCATGAAATATCAGTAAAATGCTCAAAAGCATTTTAAAGCACGTGTCTACACAGTAATTAACTTTCAGCCCTGAGAAATATTCACTGGAGCTCTTCAGTGATTACATATGCTCGTTATTACTTGAATTAATAAGCATTTATGTAATATAACTAATCAAATAATTAACACAATACACACTAGAGTAAGTTCACAGACATTGCTATCAGAGTCCCTCTGGTTAGAAATATACTGATATTGCTGGTGGACACTTTTGTGCCTCATTTGAATGCTTCCAGTTCTTCTTTTGTGTAAAATAAACCCTCAAAACTACAAAAAGTGTACATTTATATTATGTAAATATGTCAAAGTACAGTGCTTCTCTTGTCATCAAGTTGCTCAATGCATGCTCTTTGCATGTCATATATAGTTAAAAAAAGAACAAAAGAAAAATAACTTATAAAAAGAGCAAAAGTTTCAGAACACATTTATTGGAGCTGAATCTTTGGAATATGTCAGTCGATCTGATTCGATCAGAGACAGAGCAGATGTGGAGGAGATTTTCTTTCGTGGTGCAGATGTTCAAATACAAAACATTGATATCCATTTTAAGGCCTTGCTGTTTTTTATTCATTTTTTTCCTTCCTACAACAGCAACGTACAGAGGCAGTATTGAAAATAAAAGTTTTCTCTGCTTCTGCATCTTCTTGTAAAAAAAAAAAGAAAATGAAAAAGAAACAAATCGGCACAAAATTTCAACGACAGTACAAAAAGCAAAAGAGAATCGGGGTCAGGTAAACGGGAGCTTTACTATAGGAAATCTGTATATCTTTTTCAATAATGAAAACATCTCGATAACTGACCATTTCAGAATCGTATTACATATTCTGAAACTATATAAAAAAAATGAACACTGTCTTTTTTATTTCAGTTGTCTTTTTTACAAATGAATGCTATAAACACATAAACTTCATCAAATATATTGATCAGTGCAACATTGTTTCTTTTTCGTTAATGCTACAGTATGCTTTCTCACAGAATCCCGACTGAAGCCAGTCGCCTTTATCCAGCTTCAGCTGACACACATGTAGCATCGACACGAGGATTCATGTCATCGGAAACTACCGGAAAGAAACGGGAAAACAACAGTATACAGCACAGTACATGAACATACCGAGAAACCTGTAGAAAACATTAGTATTGTCAGCAGTGAAGCCCTGTTATCGGTTAAACTACGTGTGTACGGCATTGCTAAAATCAGACCCATCCAGCGGTCCAGAATCCAAACCGTCGACCCAATGACAATGAGATGAGATGGTCTCCAGACGTCTCAAGAGAATGGGTTGTTGCGATTGGACCCTGCAGTTTGAGGCAACAGTCCTTTGGTACAGACACAAGGCCAACGACAGAACGCTTGTGAAGCGATGCGTGAGAACTTTTAATAGCACCACTCTTAAAATGAGAGTTTTATTCAAGAGCACATGCATTCAAGCTCGACGGATGGTGAAAGAAGCGCTTCGATGAAACCTCAAATCAAAGCAATCAAGGCAATGACGATCATCAATTATTTTTTTGGTATGCTGGATAAACAGACATTCTGAATGTGATTATAGAGGATATGATGATTATAAATCTGTAATCCAGGTGAATAAAACTCGCCTATGAAATGCATTTATGTTCCCGTGATGAAATGCGCGCTGGATTTGTATTAACATCTGTCTTGAACAAGGGCTGCATCTTTTGGGAGCGTAGCAAAATAACCAAACAGGACGGAAAAAGCACACGCTTCACTTTCACAAAACAGTCAGACGATTGTATTTACAACATACAACCCAAGAAAAAAGGGATACTGCAGCTTTCTTTTTTGTCCTTTTACTCGTTTCTTTGAAAAGGGCATTAAAATATATTAAAACTTATGTACAATATGCAGGATTTCAACATTAAAGCGCTATGAATTTACCGGGATTTGTTTTGCAGATTCGACCGACAGCTTTTTCGAGAACTAAAGGGTTGAAAACACCAAGAAAACAACAGAGGAGGCCAAAAAAGATGTACCAAAGGCACTGACTGAACCATACCCAGAATGCAACAGGGCTGGATGATTTTCCACCCCGTTTGATCCTTGCCCTACCATGGGGTATTAACCTTCCCTTGGCCGTATATGGTTCTTTTTTTTTTTGTCTCAACACCAGCATCGGATTGTAAAAATGATCAACCAAAAATAATACGAAATAAAAAATTAAAATAATAATTTCAATCATCTGTACATATTCTTATTTTTCCTTTTGTTTTGTTTTTTCCTTGTATTCAATGTTTTGTACACAGTGTCCGTTCACTGCGGCTCCTGAGACACTTCTGTCTCCTGAGCACCTGTTGCCAGTGTGTAGATGAAGTTCCCTGATCCGCCTACAGCAGACGGAGAGAAACCATGTGAGGTTCAGATGTTTCACACTTTCCATGCTGTGAGGCCAATGGGTGCAGTTTTTTTCTTACCAGTGTGGTCCATGTTTGGGCCGGTGTTTAGAGTCGGGGTGCCGCTGGACTGGATCTGCCACCTGAAACCGCTGTCCTCTGACATCCAGCCACAGAATGAAGGATCACTGGCCCAGCCAAAGTCACAGGCAAACCACAGGAACGCTACAGAGAGAACACACACAAACACACAGGGAAAGATTATTAACATATACACTATTTGATTTCATATTACTAAAGCAGTGACACACACACAAACACACACACACACACACACACACACACACACACACACACACACACATATGTTGTGTTTCCATGTTTTATGGGGACTCTCCATAGGCGTAATGGTTTTTATACTGTACAAACTGTATGTGCTATTGCCCTACACCAACCCTACCCCTAAACCTACCCCTCACAGGAGACTTTCTGCATTTTCAGATTTTCAAAAAAACTCATTCTGTATGATTTATAAGCTTGTTTCCTCATGGGGACCTCAAAAATGTCCCCACAAGGTCAAAATTTACTAGTATCACTATCCTTGTGGGGACATTTGGTCCCCATAACGTGATAAATACCAGGTACACACACACACACACACTCAATATTATTTATATTTTAGAATGGTTACTTTTTATATTTAATAATAATACTATGATATTATTTACATTAATGCATTTTAATATAGTACAATAAATATAATATATGAGTAAACATGATGAAAAAATGATGTACACCATTCAAAGGTTTGGGTTTGCAAAGATTTTTTAATGTATTTGAAAGTAGTCTCTTTTCCTCACCAAAGCTGCATTTATTTGATTAAAAATACAGTAAAACAGTGAAATGTTGTTACATTTTAAACTAACTATTTTCTATGTGAATCTCTGTTAAACTGTAATGTATTTCTGTGATGCGCAGCTGTATTTTCAGCATCATTCCTCCAGTCTTCAGTGTCACATGATCTTCAGAAATCAGTATAATATGCTGATCTGCTGCTCAACAAACATTTCTGATTATTATCAATGTTGAACACAGTTGTGCTGCACAATATTTTTGTGGAAACCATTATAAATATACTTTTCAGTCTTTAACGAATAGAAAGCCCAAAAGAACAGCATTTATTTGAACACTCAGAAAAAAAGGTACAATAGCTGTCACTGGGATGGTACCTTTTCAAAATGTACTTTTTGTACCTTATTTACTCCTAAAAGATGCATATTATTACATTAAATGTTCATATTCATATCTAAAGAGTACATTTTAGTACCTTTTGTAAGTGACAGCTTTTGTACCTTTTTTTCTGAGAGTGAAACAGAATCTTTTGTAACATTATAAATGCCTATATTTTGATTAATTTAATGAAACCTTGCTGAATAGCTGAATAAAAATTTTTGTAACAGTAGTGTATAACATTTGAATGTTTTGAAGCTACTGTGTGATTGATTGGACTACACAACTACACAAACTACATGCTTTATATCTACTGTCCACTTGATGGCAACAAAGAGTTATTTTACAAGCAGAAAACACCATCATTTAAGCATGAGCATTTCTAAATCCATTCCAAATTCAGCCGTGCCTAAGCCAGATCCACATTTATACACCAAATATAGCTAGATCTTGAGCGAGAATACAGAGCACACGAAACAATGAAGCTTTGAAACTGAGATTGACATGAAAGAAGGAGGGAGGGATTTAACGATGTTAGATTGAGTGAGAGATAGAAAGCCACATAGAGAGACAGCATGAAGAGCAGAGAGAATTGAGACGGACAGAAAAGCAGAAGCATGTCTAGGATGTCAGCTATGCTGGAGCCTGCACAGCCTCAGCGCTGCTTTTCTAGACAGTTTAATAAAGCCAAGCGCTCCGCTCCCTTAATAATGCCAGGATTCTCCACGAGCTTCACAGGGTATTTGCTCACTGAATGCAAAGGAAAGAATTTCCCATTAAAAGCCACAGCTCAGGCATGCAGCCACTGCCGCTGCAAAAAATGCCAGTTTCCAATTAAAAGTTATTTCTTCTTTACCATCTTTAAATGGATTGGGGCTGTTGCAGTGTAGGACAGCGCAAGGATACGTTTCACCGCAGTCCAGAATGTTCTACCAGTTTTGAATGCTTGTCATAGCAAATAAACCACATCCAATAATAGAAAGCACACACATCTACTCAATGTTAATGCCTATATTGCCTATATTTTGATTAATTTAATGAAACCTTGCTGAATAAAGCTATTCAAATTTTTGTAACAGTAGTGTATAACATTTGAATGTTTTGAAGCTACTGTGTGATTGATTGGACTACACAAATCTCCAAACTACATGCTTTATATCTACTGTCCACTTGATGGCAACAAAGAGTTATTTTACAAGCAGAAAACACCATCATTTAAGCATGAGCATTTCTAAATCCATTCCAAATTCAGCCGTGCCTAAGCCAGATCCACATTTATACACCAAATATAGCTAGATCTTGAGCGAGAATACAGAGCACACGAAACAATGAAGCTTTGAAACTGAGATTGACATGAAAGAAGGAGGGAGGGATTTAACGATGTTAGATTGAGTGAGAGATAGAAAGCCACAGAGAGAGACAGCACGAAGAGCAGAGAGAATTGAGACGGACAGAAAAGCAGAAGCATGTCTAGGATGTCAGCTATGCTGGAGCCTGCACAGCCTCAGTGCTGCTTTTCTAGACAGTTTAATAAAGCCAAGCGCTCCGCTCCCTTAATAATGCCAGGATTCTCCACGAGCTTCACAGGGTATTTGCTCACTGAATGCAAAGGAAAGAATTTCCCATTAAAAGCCACAGCTCAGGCATGCAGCCACTGCCGCTGCAAAAAATGCCAGTTTCCAATTAAAAGTTATTTCTTCTTTACCATCTTTAAATGGATTGGGGCTGTTGCAGTGTAGGACAGCGCAAGGATACGTTTCACCGCAGTCCAGAATGTTCTACCAGTTTTGAATGCTTGTCATAGCAAATAAACCACATCCAATAATAGAAAGCACACACATCTACTCAATGTTAACCAACCAAGACCACACACACACACACACAAGGACACATGCTTATTAGGACCTTCAATCTATTCAGTTGTGTTGTTGTTTTGCTGTTGTGATGAGGCTCAGACAGGGCCAAACAGACACACACACACACACACACACAGACACACACACATAGCCCCTAATTAGACAAGGTCAGTTAAGGGGCATTTCTCATTTGCCCATTAGTGAGCAGTCTTGAATGGCTAATCAGTCATTACGCTGAATTAGCAAATCAGAGGGGCTCTTTATAGATTTTCACAAGAACACTTCAGAAACGAGATTACATACTCATCTTTGAGTTTACACACTTAGAATCAAACGGCCTCAACAACCAAACAGAGAACTAAGAAAACATACAATAAGAATGATCTTTCTTAAAGGTGCAGTGCGTCATTTCTGTGCTGCTAGCGACACCAGATGTAACTGCAAAAATGTTTTCTGAAGAAAATTGCTTACTGGCCCTCATCAAATAGAGTGCATCATTTTGTTTCTCTTGTTCAGAAAAACAGGTAATCCTGCATGAAACTCATAAACACGTATTTTAAATGTGCCCATTATTTGGGGAAATGAGCTACAATTGGCTTACTTAGAGTTGTCTGTGCACATTGAACTGGGATAGGAGAAAGTATGCTAACACTGCAAAAATGACACGCCGCACCTTTAAGGGAGTATGCATTAGCCCAATCCTGGATAATTAAAGAAATTACAGATAGAATTAGAGGTAAGTACCTTTCTCACCTGGAACTGTGCTCGTCTCTGTGGTCGTCTCTGGCGCAGCGGTTCCACCTGTAGTGTGGACACAGAGAAGGCCATTAGATGAAAACTTAAAGTGAGACACTGGCTAATATTTTATTTGGATATTATCAGGAGGTAAGGATCTGACTGTGCTAATTCCCCTCTTTGTATTTGCTTAGCATTTTTTAAACGAGCTTTGCCAGATGAGACATGCAAATACGTTCAGAAACGTTGGAACCTTTACTTTAAGCATTTAGCAGAGGGGAGTGTAATTCTGTGCAACACACTCTGTGAGACTGCACTGAAGTGAACACAGAGGAGATTACAGACAGAATTTATAATGCAGTGTTAGTATTAGCAGCTGGAGAGCAGAAGACATTTTAATATTCACACATGAATACCAAGGTAAGTGCAAGCTAGGCTGGAATGGTGTATTATATCACTGTATACTACATACAGTGTGGTAGTGTTACTGTTTAATACCAATATTTATTAAATTTTTTTTTTTTTCTCGTGGAGTGTCTATTTACACTAAGTGCAAATAGCCCACCTTGTTGGCAGAAGCTATTTACACAAACTCCGCCCACCAACGGTGGTCAACCAATGGTTGGTCTACTCAACACTACAAAAGACGATTGTATAAAATCAGCTCCAGTGGCGTAGATTGGAAAAGCATGTGCCAAAGTCATTTTCGACCCGAGTTCGAATCCACCTTTTGCCAACCTATTTTTTTCTCCCTATTTCAAATCTCATATCACATTGGAAAGGCATTTATTTTCAATAAAAATGAAGGAAATAATCGAAAAGTTGAAAATAAAGTATCGGGTAGGTGTAAGGAGGGCTTATCTTATCCCAATAAGGTGGCATCCATTTAATAATCTGAATTCAAATGATTATTTACACTCAATACGTTATTATTGCATACTATTTTATAATGTACTACAATACTGAGGTGCAGATAATTGCTACTATTTGCAATAAGTAGTATAAATGGCAGAACATACTGCTATTTGCACTTAGTGTAAATAGCCGCTGCCATTTGTTTATTGTATGTGAAACAGTATGACAGGCATTCTTTTTGCATTATAATAAGTCTTTCCTGGTGTATATGGCAAATAGTAAATAATTTTTAAGAATTTTTACGAGGGACAGTTTAATATCAATAAAGTTAAATACCTATATCATCAGTCCATATGACACAATGCTCTGGTATCGTCTAGAAGACTTGAATAGTGCAGAATGCGGACTGTTTTTATGCTGCCTTTCTATTGGTCATCATATACAGTATTTGTCCTTTTGCAGGAGCTTGACATCTATCTTTTTAAGGAATAGAGCTCCAATTGTGGAAAAGAGTATACAAATTATTTTAATGATGAAAAATACAGTAAACAGTACTGTGAAATATATAATGTTACAATTTAAAATAGCTGTCTTCTATGCCAATATATAGTAAAATGTCATTTATTTCTGTGATCAAAGCTGTATTTTCAGCATCATTCCTCCAGTCTTCAGTGTCACATGATCTTCAGAAATCAGTATAATATGCTGATCTGCTGCTCGAGAAACATTTCTGATTATTATCAATGTTGAACACAGTTGTGCTGCTTCATATTTTTGTGGAAAATGTGATACCATTCAGTCTTGGGTAAGATTAAAAAATATCACATTGGAAAGGCATTTATTTTCAATAAAAATGAAGGAAATAATCGAAAAGTTGAAAATAAAGTATCGGGTAGGTGTAAGGAGGGCTTATCTTATCCCAATAAGGTGGCATCCATTTAATAATCTGAATTCAAATGATTATTTACACTCAATACGTTATTATTGCATACTATTTTATAATGTACTACAATACTGAGGTGCAGATAATTGCTACTATTTGCAATAAGTAGTATAAATGGCAGAACATACTGCTATTTGCACTTAGTGTAAATAGCCGCTGCCATTTGTTTATTGTATGTGAAACAGTATGACAGGCATTCTTTTTGCATTATAATAAGTCTTTCCTGGTGTATATGGCAAATAGTAAATAATTTTTAAGAATTTTTACGAGGGACAGTTTAATATCATATATTATCAGTCCATATGACACAATGCTCTGCTATAGTCTAGAAGACTTGAATAGTGCAGAATGCGGACTGTTTTTATGCTGCCTTTCTATTGGTCATCATATACAGTATTTGTCCTTTTGCAGGAGCTTGACATCTATCTTTTTAAGGAATAGAGCTCCAATTGTGGAAAAGAGTATACAAATTATTTTAATGATGAAAAATACAGTAAACAGTACTGTGAAATATATAATGTTACAATTTAAAATAGCTGTCTTCTATGCCAATATATAGTAAAATGTCATTTATTTCTGTGATCAAAGCTGTATTTTCAGCATCATTCCTCCAGTCTTCAGTGTCACATGATCTTCAGAAATCAGTATAATATGCTGATCTGCTGCTCGAGAAACATTTCTGATTATTATCAATGTTGAACACAGTTGTGCTGCTTCATATTTTTGTGGAAAATGTGATACCATTTATTATCAATGTTGAACACAGTTGTGCTGCTTCATATTTTTGTGGAAAATGTGATACCATTCAGTCTTGGGTAAGATTAAAAAATATAAATTTATATTTTTCTTCAACAAGGTTGCATTAAATTGATTTAAGTGACAGTAAAGATATTTATAGTTATTACGAAGTACTTATATTTCAAATAAATGCTGTTCTTTAACTGAAAACCATTATACCAATAATAAAAACTGTGCATTGTGACGAATAACGTAAATGGCATTAAAATCTAAGAAATTTGAAAAGCGTTTTTTAATATGCTTTCCTACCTGCCTGTCAAGTTATGTATTATCATACCTCTGCGCACCCGGTTCGCGCAGACAGGATACGTCATACGTCAGACAGAGCGAGAATCATACCTCTGCGCACCCGGTTTGCGCAGACATGATAAGTCATACGTCAGACAGAGCGAGAATGGTAGACAAACATCAACAACCCGATCTTCCTTCCTGGTATTGTAGTACTTTTAAAGTTTTCTCACCGGTGATTGACACATGCTGTAGCCCAACGGTTAATCCAGCCCTCGCGCCAGCTCGTTAGTAGTGAGCTACGTGCATGAACTGTGTTCCGATCGATATGATCCCTACACAGTGTTCATTGCTCCCTACTCCCTGAGCGGGGGAAATCCGTTGAAGTTTACTTCACTTCGGAACATGGGCTGGAATTGGGAAACGCTAATGTAACCTATTGTATTGTAATTGTCTCTGGTATTCTGGTCTGTGAGCGTAAATGCGTTCAGGGGGCGTGGCTTTGGACGCCGATTGCAGGGAGGGTTCGCTTTCAGTGCTATCAGGTTATCAAGATTTCCTACTGCACCTTTAATTAGAATTATTTTATCAAGTGGGTCACGTGGTGAGCAGGCCATTCATCTGTGCCGATGGAAGGATATACGTACTTTTACTACAATTAATTTTTTATATATATTTACACAAAGGGCCGGCCCACGTTGTACAGCGGCCCACCAGGAAAACTCCCGGTGCTCCAGATGGCCAGTCCGCCACTGAACGGAATAAATTGAAATGGAATAATAACATACTGCATGCTACATGCTACACACTATGTACTGTATTCTGCATACTATTTCCTTAAAATAAAGCAGTATGTAGTAAGCAAACAGTAAATTGAGCAATTTAAGCAGCAGTTGATCTTAGAATGTACATGTTAAATTCTGCATACTACACAATATATACTGTGTACTGCTTACCATTTTAAAATGTATTGTATGTGAAGCAGTATGTAGTATTCAATGATAATGGACTATTTAAACTGTACTTGTTTTAAGCTTGTGACACTAAAACAAATTCCTTGTAAGTGCAAACATACTTGGCAATGAAGCTCTTTCTGACTTTACTGTAGTATGCTACAATGTTGTGACATGACCTTGCAGTTTTATATTAGTGCGACGCATTACCGTCTCAGAACTAAATACAGTAAATTTGCATTTTTAATCCAATTTTGTATAAAAACGATATTAACTTTTGGCAGTCCACAAAGTAGAAGTTGAGATTGCATTTGATATCGCTCGCCGTTCATTCATCACTGTCTGGCTTTTGTAATGAAATGGAAGGTCAAGTGGAGCGCATTTGGCAAATGTAGTAAGTTATTTCAGTATTAGATGGATACAGAACATTTGCATACCATGCACAGTATACTTCACTTCTAGTAGGAGTAGTATGGTAAGTGTGGTTATATGCAAAGAGATTTGGTGTCATAGTGTGAGGAGTGATTTGTATTAGCATTCCCAAAAAAAGGCTAGAAGAGCTGATATTTGCAGAAGCAAGGGAGGCGGTTAGTCTAGTGGGATTAGCATAGCAAAAGGAGCAAGATGCAGTAAGTAAGGGTGCAGTCTCTGCAGGCGGGTGTTAGCACCTGTCTGGTCGTAGTCATCACCTGTTCCACTATGGCAGTTGGCCTGGTCATCATCACACTCGTCTGATGGCGCGGTGGAGGACGTGGGTGTAGTAGGGGACACTGTGGGAACTAGAGTGAGAGAGTCAGAGATAGAGAGAAAAAGATACTCATTATTCATGAACATACAAACTGTGACACAGCTTTCATAAAATAAAGTGACAAGTGATGAATCACCTCGCTTCCCAAAAAACCATGGCAGCACCAGGGTACATTTTCATCATTTTTAAAGGTGATTACTGAAAGTCCAAAACCATGTACTTCTATGGTATTTTTTGTACGTCATTCCACAAATCATCTTAATGATTATGCTCTTTCTGTAGTCTTTCCAAGTCTGTAGCCCTTTTATACGGGCCTGTGCGTGACTCTGGCTGCAGGGTTGAGGATGTTATGCTCCACCCTGGGCCGCTACAGCTCGCTGAAACTGCTGTGTCCTCTCATTATGGCTGCCTGTGCCCCTTTGGATGTGGCCTTTGCCTACATCTGCCTAAAGCCCTGTGTTTACTCTCAGCTTGTAATGAGCTGCCCTTAAGCCTCCTCTGAAGGAGAGGAAAAAATGAGCAGGGATGTAGAGGGGGAAACGGGAGCTGTAGTGGAAGTTGCGCGGGTGAACTGAGGGCATTTTAAAGAGAGTCTCTAAAGCAGAGGGGTCACAGCGAGGTCACCGTGCTGGCTCTGGACAGCATTGTTGATCGCATCGCACACTCCTGCTAGGACTTAGCGCCCTGCTGTTAGGAATGCATATGGGTTCACTTGTTTGATTGTGAGGGTTTAGCTAAGACAGATAAAGAAATGGGGTGAATTTATATACACAGTGTGGACAAGCATTAAAAGTGAAATCAAGCATTATCATCCGACTAAAGCTCCCGGTGGGACGCTGTGGCTTACACAAGCAAGTCTCACAGTCGCTCAGAAATCCAATATGTAAATCCACTTAACGCTGCCTCAACAGAAAACACACATACACCCCATCAGAGCTAAACTAATTCAGAAGGAAAGACAGAGGGGAAGACATCAAGGACCTTTCCGTAATCCTTCAAGGCAGGTGGACCAAAGATTATCTCCAGCTGTGAGGGGCCCTGTTACTTAGGAGTGTCACAGGCCCCTGGTTTTCTGGGTTGGAGACATCCTTTGATGCCGCATCTGCGGGACAAGTAATTATGAAGAAAGCTAAGCCGTACCCTATCCTGTCCTCTTGAGTGGATAAGTCAAAATTCAATCAAATAGCATCTGTACTATAAGACCACACACTTGAGGACCTTCAAATTCCTTTAAGATCAAAGGTCTATAATTTTGTTTGTCTTTTGTTCATTTGCTTTGGACAATCTGTCTTTGGCTTGCTGCAAGATTGCCCATTATGTGTATGAATCGCTGTTACTTTGAAAACGATTGTTGGAATAAGCAACACGCTACACTAGCCTAAAGTTACACTATTTGTAAAACAGCAGAGCAACTATTAATGTGACTGAAAATGTAGTCAAAGGGATTGTTCAACCAAAAATTAAAATTCTGTCATTAAATACTCACCCTTATGTAAGACCTTCATTCATCTTTGGAACACAAATTAAGATATTTTTAATGAAATCCGAGAGCTTTCTGACCCTCCACAGACAGCAAGGGAACTACCACGATCAAGACACAGAAAAGAAGTAAGAGCATCGTTGAAATAGTCCATGTGACATCAGTGGTTAAACCGTAATTTTACGAAGCTAAGAGAATACTTTCTGTCCACAAAGAAAACAAAAATAACGACTTTATTCAACCATTTCTTCTCTTCCGTGTCAGTCTTTGACACACGTTCACGCGTCTTGGTACTCTCGTGAATGGTGGAGGAGACTGACCGGAAGACCGCTTCATAAAATTATAGTTGAACTACTGATGCCACATGGACTATTTTAACGATGTCCTTACTACGTTTCTGGGCCTTAAATGTTGTAGTTCCCTTGCTGTCTATGGAGGGTCAGAAAGCTCTTGGATTTCATCAAAAATATCTTAATTTGTGTTCTGAAAATGAACGAAGGTCTTATGGGTTTGGAACAACATGAGGGCGAGTAATTAATGACAGAATTTTAATTTTTGGGTGAACTAACCCTTTAAGTCAGTAGCGTCCCTACTTGAGTACTTCTCAGTAGTGGTATGAATGTGGGGTAATGTATGTGTCTGTGAATGAGTTTTCAACTTACCTTCCGTTTCACAGCCCAGGAGTTCCAATCTAAGTCCCATCCCAGCAGGAGTGGCTCTGTCTGGGTACACCCTAACAAAGCGTGTCAATATAGGCTCCACCGTCCTCAACGCTGGCGTGTCATAGTTCAAATTCCCCTCAAATATCTGCCAAGAACAACGACAGAGTCAGAGACAATAATTGGCAGTCAAGCAGAGAAAGAGAACTTGGAAAGACATAAATGGGAAAAGATAAAGGTGAAAGCTTTATTAGGAGTATCCCAAAGTTAGTCTGACAGGGAAAGCAAAGAACAGAGCTTTAATGAAAGAGAACGAGTGAGAGGGCACGCAGCTCACACCTTTCTTAACTTGGGCACTGTTGTATTTGTAATGCAACAAAGCACTCGAGAAAATAAAGTCTTCAACTTGATTTCTGACATTGTACGGCTGAGCTAGCGCAAAAAAGAAAGGCCGCGGGCCAAAACTGTAGTCTACGACAGCAGGATGCACATGCTTTCAAAAGCATCTGCCTTTAACTTCACACTTCTGAAGCCTTAAAACCCAGACACGAGGTACCACAGGAGGCAGACAGAAAAAAGGAAGGAAAGACGAAAAGACACTCGCCAGTGGTAACAAAGGTACAGAACAAGACGAGAAGTCATGAAAGTACATTAATGGTTTTTAGAGCTAATGTGTCTCCTTTTGTCCTCCAAACTAAGGCAGAGATATAAGGGTTTTAAAAGGGGTCTTTTAGGATTGATATTCCAATCCAGCTTTTTGATAGGGGATAAGGCACATAGTCTATGTTCTACAAAAAAATCACTCATTTCATGTATTTCACGTACTGTAACATTTCTTTTGAAATTTGTCTGTTTTCACTATGATCGCAAATGAACACTATACTGTTATTTTATTTTGGTATTATGACTGTTTTTAGGATTAAGATTATTAGTAGTATTGTTGAATGCATTTGGGATGTTTGCCCAATATTGTGCTCACAGCATTAGTCTAATTATTATCATTCTCTTCTCTGTCCATCTAAAAGGCTTCGGGAAGAATACATTATAGCTCCACGTTCAACTTTCTGAACACATTTCTTAAAATCAGGCTAGGCAAATCTCAGACTAGCGCTTAAGAACCTCATAGTGATTTAAAACTATTCTAAATGTACAACCAGTTTATGTCTAACTACCTTCCAGCTTCCCTATATCTTACCTTGTGCTTGTTGCCAGTAGCATCCATCACCATTTTCCAGTCAGATCCATTGTTGCTGTAGCCCAGCCGAAACTTCTTCATGAATACCTTGTTATCACGGTGTTTGCCTCCCTGGATGATCAACCCTCGGAACAGTTTCTCCTCACCCAGATCTATCTGCAGCCACTCATCCACATACGGCTGGGGCTGCGGCAACAAGGTCCATCCCGAACGGCTGGTCAGCAGACGGGCATTCTCTGACACCCAGGTGCGCTCAGTTTGGGATGAAACTGTGATCTGAGAGTCTGCGATAAGGCCTGAGACCATTCCCAACATTCCAGAACATGGGTACTCTGTTGAAGGACAAAGACAGTATTAAATTCAAGGATGTTTCGAACCCTTCACTAGTGACTATCCTGAGATGTGACATGAAAAGCAGCAGACAGAGAAAAATGTATTTGCAGTCAAATGTATTGGCCATCAAAGGAGAAAGATAATTATGGACCCAAATTGTGTAGTTTTGGCATCCACCAGCAGGGGCTAACAGGGCCATGCTAACCAGCCAAACCCTTATCCCTCGGTTAGACTGTTATCTAACCTGCCACTGCTGTGGCAAAACAAATGTACCATTATTTGTCATTCCAATAAAACACACGGACGCCGAGAAAGAGAGGGTTGTTTGAGAACATAGTGGAAGAGTTGAATGATAATTGAGGGATGTGTCTACAAAAGATTAGATTAGCTGTGATTGGGTGAGTCTGAGAGGAAGAGAAAGAATGGAGAAGAAAAAAATGATGTTGGCTGATAAACCTGGTAGAAATGGTCACATCTCAGGGAGCTTGGAAACGTTCTTACCAACAACCTAAAGAGGTCACGGGCCATAAAGAGACTGAACAAAGAGAGAAAGAAAGACATTCATTGCACAGGAAAGACAGATGAAGTGGACAGAAGAGATAAGAAACCTCTTGTTCTCTTTGTTTCTCTCTCTCCATCTTCCTTTCACCACTGACCTTGTGCATTAACTCCTCTGCCTCTTTTTCTCAAGCTACCTAATTAAAACCTTTCTCTAGTG